ATATTTTTCTAGTTCGTTTGGATTTCAAGTAATTTTGCATATAAAAGCAAATAAATATCTCAAAATATCTATCATTACTAATGGAGATTTGAAACCATCTCAATCACTGATTTGATTTTTCTTCCCAAGTTTGTCTTCCCACTCAAACGTCAATGTAGAATTATGAATATTGTTCCGAAAAGGTTAAGATCATAATTTGAAAGGTATAATATTCATGAGTAGATAAATATTTTCATTATTAGAGGACCTAAAGTTAGGGCAGAAACCAGAGAGCTCTATATGTGATGTTTGGCAATTTAGCTAGTGGTTTGAACTTGCATGACTTGTTACATGGCTGCCTATGAGCTAAGCTTTTGTCTATGCTAAACGTTTAATTTGAATAGGAAGACCAACTAACTATTCATTTAATGGTACTTCTCTTTCCAATGCTAAAAGAGACTCCAAGTTCGAATATTACGATATACTGTTCACTCATCAATACGAACCTTTCTAACTTATCATGCTGAATTGAACAGATATCAACGACAAGTAATATGAAGGTGGAACCTGATCATTCAATGGCATCTACTTCATCAAGTCGAAAGGAACAGGATTATCAACTTGAATCTGCTAGAGCTGAAATGGGTGAGGTTAGAGAAGAGAATCAAAGGCTGAAGAAGTACTTAGATCGGATAACAGACGAGTACCAGACACTTCAAATGCAGTTGTACGACATTCAAGAAAAAGCAAACAAGTCCAAGGATGTTACAATTGCTAGTGCTAACAATATTTATAACCATCAAGACGAGGAATCCGAGATGGTCTCACTCAGCCTTGGATCGTTTTCTAGCAGACCCAAAAAGGATGAAAAGAACAAAAACCGTAGTACTAGTAGTCAAGGGAAAGAAAATGAGTCAGATAGAGAAAGCTTGTCTTTGGGGCTAGACTGCAAATATGAAGCACCTAAATCAAGTGCTACAACTACTGAAGTACCTTTATCGAATTCAAGCCCTGCAAGCAGCCTTGAAGAGGTGCCCAAGGAAGAAGCAGGTGAGACCTGGCCACCTAAGAAAGTTCTCAAGACAGCGAGAAGTGTAGAAGATGAAGTTGCTCAACAGAACCCAGTGAAGAAAGCTAGGGTTTCAGTGAGAGCCAGATGTGATACCCCAACGGTTAGTCTACATGCAAAAATGAAATCAATTAAAGATATAGCTAGCTAGATGTAGCCAGGCGTGAGATTTTACTAACAAAATATAATGTATTTGGACACAGATGAATGATGGATGTCAGTGGAGGAAATATGGACAGAAGATTGCAAAAGGAAATCCATGCCCTCGTGCATACTACCGTTGCACCATCGCACCATCATGTCCTGTACGGAAACAGGTGAATATATATGCACCTTATTTGGCAATGAACACATCACCTGTACATAATATGATGCACCATGTAGTTTAAAAATGTATTGTACATATGTTAATTTTTTTGGTTTGTAATTAATTTCAGGTACAAAGATGTGCGGAGGACATGTCCATCTTAATCACCACCTATGAAGGAAAGCACAATCACCCACTTCCTATGTCAGCCACAGCTATGGCTTCCACCACCTCTGCAGCCGCTTCCATGCTATTATCCGGCTCATCATCATCAGCCCGGTCTGGCCTGAACCCATCAGTTGGGGCCACCACAACTGCTGCTCACGATCTTCATGGATACAATTTCTATCTCTCTGACAACTCAAAATCCAGATTCTTCATACCCAACTCTTCATTGTCATCTTCTCTTCCAACAATCACCTTAGACCTAACTTCAAACCCACCACCACCATCATCATCCTCTAATCCCTTGTCCCATTTCAATAAATTTTCTTCTTCATCAAATTCTTCTCACCAACTACACCCTCCCACCAGCCTCAACTTTGGTTCTAATTCTGAATCCAACACCAACATGTCATGGAGCAATGGGTTCCTTTCCTATGGGGCTCAATTACCACCATACAATATCAACAACAAGAACCAAATTGGATCACTAAGTAGTCTTGGAATTAGGCAACAGCAGCAGCCTCTACAAAACAATATATACCAAAACTACATGCACAAGAATAATCTTAACCCAACTCCTCCTCCTCATCCTTCTCAAGGAGCAACTCCTCATCAGTTTCAACCAGACCCCATTGCTGCTGCAACCAAGGCAATCACAGCTGACCCAAGTTTCCAATCTGCCTTAGCAGCTGCACTTTCTTCAATCATTGGCAGCAACAGTAATGTTGGGACAGCTGGCACTACTGGAATGCTAGGCAACAACAACAATCAGGCTGGTGGTGGTGACAATAACAATATGGCTCAGAAATTCAAATGGGGCGACCAATTTGCAGGAAGTACAACTACTTCTTCTTCTCCATACCTCCAAACGCAGATAGGGAACAATAGTACCATTGGATGTGCATCAAGCTATTTGAACAAAACGACTTCTGCGAATTCGCAGCCCGGGAGCTTGATGTTTCTGCCACCTTCATTGCCATTTGCAAGTGCCTCCAAGAGCGCATCTACGTCTCCTGGTGACACTAGAGATCACAAAAGTTTATAGTTTTTTTTGGAATATATATTTGTTAATTTGTAATCAAGCAAGAGTAGAGGCAATTAATTCAACCAAGACAATTAAACTGAGTTTGATTTTGTGTATTATTAGATTTCTTTTTCTTTTCCTTTCTTCTGATTAGTATACAGTTGTGATGGTATATGTTGTAAATTGTAATTTCCATCTAGGACGTGGATGTATGCGGAAAGGATTGACCGTGGATTAGCTGACATAAGCTTTGGTGTTTAAGTATGCTTTAACTCTTAATCACTTTGTTAACGTCCTTAATAAAAACACTGCATTGATCCTGCAGTGGTCATTTTCAGTGACACTGAATTGCCGACCATTTTATATTCTTTAGCTATAGAGACAAAATTTATGGACCCACCCCCCTCCATATTGTAGTCAAAGTACGTCAAATACCACTCTCTAAATTATTATTCTTAGGCTCAGTCTAAAATTTACCATCCTCATCCAATTATTAGGTCACAATTTAATCGATCAATATGCTCTGCGGGGCCCAGGATCAATGTATCTACTTGTAAAAGCCAAACCAAGCCCCCCCTTAAGTTCCTTTCCTGATGCTCTGCATAGTTTTTTTCCAGCTAGCTCATGAAATATATTCTGTAAATAAGGAGACAAAAAGGGCGCATCATGAAATGACAACAAGGGCTATATGGCTGGTATGTCATGAATACAATGTGATTATAAATTGTAAAGAGTAAACTACCTAGGGTTAGTGGCTATGAAAATGAGTGATTATGAATTGTTAATATGTAGGTCTTTCATAGTCACACATACATCAATAATAAACGATTGTTTATACACGCATCTGTAATTCACGAAATATAACTTCATTTATAAGCTCTTATAATTCTCTTTATTTTCAATATTATAAAAAACTTAAAAGAGTATATTAAAGTCACCCATTGCAAGGTTTTATCTTAGGTAATTTGACAACTCAAAGATGGACATGGTAGCTCTTGAATCTCTCAAGAGAATGAAAAACCATAAAAAGGAAAAAGGAAAAAGAAAAAAGAAAAAGGTGGAGAGAAAATTCCCTCCATTCACTTTTTATAGGAGAATATATTAGAAAGAGAAGGCAAGTAGGCAAGTAGGGAGGCTCTGTGTTTTTGGGTTAGTTTTTTCAGCTTTTGTGGATGGATTGTAAAAGAAAGAAGAGCCAATTTGGGTGTTATGACTTTTCTTGTTCTTCTTCACCACTTTGATACAATTTTTCTGATTTGAAATCAACACATTATTGATTTATCAACAAACCAATATCAATTTCTCAACAAAAAAAAGTTCGTTTTTATATATAGTCAGCGACGCCATAAGAGATTCCATAAGAAAAAGCAATGGGAAAAACTAACTAGCAAAAATAGAGCAAAATAGTCAGCGACGCCAGAGTCAGAAGAGCTAAAGAGTAGAATCCGCATCACCGAATCAGACTAAGATAAAGAGTCGACGTCTACCATGGGGTCCGAGGAGGCTGGGCACCGACTCCGCAAGTTTCCAGAAACGTGTTTTGTTTTTGGTTTTTTAACTAACATATTGTTCAGTAAAAGAAAATGAAATAACCTTTTATGTCTTTTAAAATAGGTTTTTTCTCCACCCTTAGATTAGATCCAAGGTGGGTGACCACAAACTCCTTGGACTACGGGGGTCTAGGAGAACGGGACTGTCACATTCACTTGATAATTCTGATATAAGCTAATTTACAAAACAACCTCCACCCTTCTCTCTCTCTCTCTCTCTCTCTCTCTCTCTCGGTAGTTCTGTGTTCCTCTCCTCCCAGACCTAATGGCTTCGATCTGATTAAACCCACCTCCAAAGCCCCTTCCTTGATCACCCTCTTCACCAACCCAATTCTGAACCTGTTCAGATCGAGACCTCTTGGAGATTCGGAGCTCCAGGTGAGAGAATTTTCCCCAAATTATCTTCAATTTCTTTTGTTCTTATTCATTTCCAAATTTAATTTTAGAATTGGTTGTTATTTTAGGCGGGTAACGAAGCTATAATCAGAAAGATCCGAATTTTATGTCTAGATGGGGTCAAGTGCCTAGCTTTATTAGCTTTGTAGTCAATTGGGTATTTGTAGTCCAAATATGAATTAGGGTTTTGTTTCTTGGGGTCAAATTAGTGAAGAGAATATGCTTCTTTTCGTTATCATGGATACCGTAGCTCTAAACACCTAAAAAGTTGCTTAATTGAAGTGAAATTTCCAGTTTTTGGGCTTACTTTCAGGTCCTGAGCTTTGTTTTTGTGTATATTTAGCTCAGCTAAAGCTATCCTAGCTGGTAATTTGAAGTATTTGTGTTGATGATTCTATTTCTTTATGACTATGTATCTTACCCGTTGCCCAAATTGCTTGCCCCAATTTTTATACATTCAATTTGGTGTAGACATTTTTTTCTTTTACTTTTTTGGTAGGCATTGGAAACATGCAATGGGATTCTCCTCCAATGCACGGTTAATCTTAAAAGACATATTGAATTGGGTTGATGTTTATTGATTGTTGATTGCTGTGATGTATAGGTGGTTGCAAACTAGCAATGTCAACTCCTGCGAGGAAGAGGCTGATGAGAGACTTCAAGAGGCTGCAACAAGACCCACCTGCAGGGATTAGTGGGGCGCCTCAAGATAACAATATAATGCTTTGGAATGCTGTTATATTTGGGTATGTTGGAAAAATGAAATGCATAAAAAGAAATTACTATAGTGTTCTCTTTGTTATGCAACATTAATATTCATTTTTCAATATGTTTTAAGTACGGTTGGATAAGCCATTTCTCGTTTCTTGTCTGGTTTGGATTGCAGTCCGGATGATACTCCTTGGGATGGAGGTTAGTTAATCCTTGTACTGAAGCTTTTGATTATGTTAATGCGTTTCAGACGTGGGATATTCTGATCTAAGTTTTACATTCTAGAATGAAGATGAACAGCATGTACAGTAGTTATGTTATGCTTTAGTTAAAATAGTGATTCCAAAGTGTTTCCTTTTCTTTTGTAAAGGATTTTATATCTTCTTCTTGAAGAAATAATTAGATTGCAGTCCGATGGATTCCTTATTTCACTAAGTTCCTAAAATTTTCTTACTTTCTAATACCAAATTCTGAAAACCAGAACCTGAATATTGAGTAAATAACTAAAAGCTTTCCTCCTTTGTTTCTGTCATGTATTTTGCCCATTGATGTGACCACGGTATGCATGTTTCTGTTAAATAACCTTAACTTTGTTAATATCTACATTTAAGAACTCTCTGTTGGAGTAATACAGGCACGTTTAAGTTGACCCTTCAGTTTACAGAGGATTACCCAAACAAACCACCGACAGTCCGATTTGTTTCTCGAATGTTTCATCCAAATAGTAAGTTGGATTATACATGTCTTGACATCACAATTTTCTGCATATTAAGCATTTCTCCTCCGGTTTCTGAATTCAATTTTTCTTTCAAATTTGGTCAGTTTATGCAGATGGAAGTATTTGTTTGGATATTTTACAGAATCAGTGGAGTCCTATATATGATGTGGCAGCTATACTCACGTCTATTCAGGTATGGTTGAATTGTGTGGATAAGATTTTTGTTCCTTGCTTATATTTATGAATTTTCATAGCATGAGCAAAGGTGTGTCGCCTATAGCATACATTTGACTTAGAACTTAAAGAAACATTGTATTGGGGAGGTTAAAGTTTTGCTTCTACACCTTAGGGTCTCAAGGAAGGCTAGTACATTTATCTTTATTCCAGTACAGTGTGGAGTTTTATATATCTATACTACAAATGTAGCTGCACATGCCAATGAAGGCTTGTAGGTATTTCGATGTAGATCAATTATGAATGGAAATAGTGATGTATGTGTTGAGAAACTTTTAGTGTGCTGAACACCAACAATCTGAGAAGACCCTAACATCTACCATTTTCTTATTGCAGTCACTACTATGTGATCCCAACCCAAACTCTCCTGCAAATTCAGAAGCTGCTCGCATGTTTAGCGAGAACAAGCGTGAGTACAACCGAAGAGTGAGAGAAATCGTGGAACAGAGTTGGACAGCAGACTAACTCCTTCACATGGGAGCTTGTAGGACAGTCGGAATTTGTTCAAAGGCATTTTGTAAGTAGCATTTCTAGCTACTGCGAGAATCGTTGTGCCAACTTATCAACATTTATCCTGTATTTCAATGTTTTATTCCCAAATTATGACGCTTAGGTTTTGCTTTGTCTTAAGATATGTCTTGCCCGCTGCCACATTGCATTCTTAGTTAAGCTCTTGTAAAATAGTGTTGTGTATCAATTTGCATTGGTTTGTTATGAACTTGGATGTTCGGTATTTGAAATGAAAGTTAGTAGTTTACTACAAAAGCAGAAATTTTCGGTCCTTAATTTTTATCTCAATCGAGTAGATTGCCACTTAGAGCATCTCCAAGGGAGATGTCAAATACCAAACATTAAATTTAAATTTGATGGCTGATGTGGCAATTTGACATTTACACAATTTTATAATCCACTTGATATGTCAAATAAATAATTATTGTAACAGTCAAATTATTTAAGATAAAGAAGAAACAAAATTAAAAAAAAGTAAAATAATAAATGAAAGTAAAAACCAGATATCTTTAAAAAATAATAAAATATTCATTTGACATCTTGCTTTTGAGATGTCAAAATTAACATATCAACCTTCAACCTTCATTCCACATCAGCTTTGACAATTCGGTTGGAGTGATGTGAGATGTTATTTCTAGCCGTTAAATGTCTATATGGCACTTTTGACACATTGGTTGGAAATGCTCTTAGCAGCTGGATCAAGGAATTGAGCTCATAATTGGTAGACTCCTTACAATTTGCCTCTACTTCTTTGCCAGTGTGCTTGAAGAACTATGGGGGTTGGTGGGTTTAAATTTTAGTACATATTGGTGCACTAATTTGAGTGTAAAATAAAACCAGTTGTAATGTCATCCAAGGTATCGTAATCACTATAAGGTTACTTAGAGAACATGAAAATCAGAAATTATCGCACAAATTGACAAACAATTAGATTTGACTATAAAACCTTCTGACAATGACCAGTCTTTTAGTTGAAGGCCTGATTTACGTGCTGCTCTTGGCTCACATTAGAAGCTCCTACTTCTCCTTGTCGTATAAGGTTGCCTATCATTTACTGATTATGCAAAAGAGAATTAATTAAAGCACGTCACTTTGAACCTTAATTTTCCTAGTTGTATAATAAAACTTTCTAATTCTCGGACTGACTTATTATTATTTTTTATTTCCTACTTGAGGCTTAAGTTTTTCTGACTATGTAAACCATATATGTACATGCAATAAGTAAGCGGAATTTATCTTTTTGACTCGCACACAATTACACTCAAAGCCTTTATAGAAACAAAACCTATTAACTCTCTTAACTCCGGATGCCTGAACCTATGTTGAATAAAACATCAACTCTTTTCAAAAGATGCCTTAATCTATGTGTGTTGCAGCTCTAACAATGAGTGTATAGTTACCCATGATCTCTTAAAGTTAAGTTGACTCAAGCGGAGTTGTCGCTTCAACTTTGCATGTGCACTTTCTGCTTTGTTGATAACAATAATAAATTTTCCTAAAGCAAAATAAATTTTCAAATTAACATATCAAAAGTTGACTAAAATACTTACCTATTTGAGTTCGTCGATCCAAGATGCATACAAGTGTCTGTCCATGCGGCCATAAACCTATCCTTAAATGGATTTAACCAATTGTCATGTATGTATGCAAGAGCTTTTTGAAATTCACTGAACTTAGACTCAATCTGTCGCAAACAACGCTAATATTCCTCATCCATTTCTGAACCAACCAAAGTATTCCAATCCTCATTAAATTGCTTCCATTGTTTGAGAGTCTCAAATAACTTCTTGCAGTTTGTCAACACTCCTTTGTTAATATGTCATCTACATAATAAATGTCGTGCTTTTGGAAATATAGACGTAATAGAATTCATGAGTGCTAACTCTCGATCGGTGACAATAACACCAGGAAGACAATTATCATCCAACAAACTCCTCAATGCAGTAAATGCCCATGTGTAATTGTCTTCCTTCTCGGCATTCATATACACATACGCAACAGAGAATGTCATATTAGTAGATGTTACCCCCACAATTTGCAATAGTGGGAAACGATATCTATTAGTCTTATAAGTGCAATCCATGATAAGTACATGTGGAAATGCACGCAAAATTTCAATATTAATAGGGTGTGTCCAAAGCAGGTCAGTTACAATATCGCCAGATGTCATATGCCACTCAATATAATTGTGTTCGGATAACTAAGTAAGCAATTGTTGCATTTGGGTTCTCCCAGCAAATTCTTTGGTTATATTTTGAATCCTAGCATTGTATATTGTCTTCATAATTGAAACATTCATTGCATCTCTATCCTCAAGTGTGACCAAAATATCTCTGGGTTTCACCAAACTCTTAGACATGTCCACCAACAAGGCATTCTCCTCTTCAGAAAGTCGCTCCACAAATGAATGACCTTGAAGATACTCTGAAATAGGATGGTTGTGTACTCTATAAACTACCACCAAATTCCAATCATTCCCATCACCAATATTGACACCTTTTAACAAGAATGGACATCCATATTTCTTGGTACCAGTGTCCCTAGCACATTTTTTCATATCACTATTTGCATCCGACCTTATATCAGTTGTCTCACTAGACTCACAAGACTTATAGTTACCGCTCCTCTCACAAGCAAGTATTACACGAGGTCTCATCTTGCCCTTACCTCTATAATCAGACCTTTTAATTACAATGACAATATTATTCATTTTTCCTTGTGCACGAGCCCATCTAAGTAATGCATCTTTACCATTGAATATCTACACATAAAACTCATATTATTTAAAGATAAAATTTGAAACATCAATGCCATGTTAATGATACTAAAAAGGATTTCAGACAAACAAAAACTCAAAATAATTACCAAATAAGTTGTGAATTAATCACTATAGTCTATTACACATTATGTTATCACATTGTTGCCTTTAGTAGGGGTGTCACCTTGTTTTTGTTCCTTCAATGGGAGTAAGATCAAAATAGTTTGCATTAAATTTGTAGTCGGCAATAAGTTACTAAATAAATAAATAAATTTTGGTTCGATGCCACTGAAACGCAGATAAAAGTTTGGTAGTGAACCACTGAACTACATTCCATGTTACAGTAGATCACCACAGAATATTAAATTCATGACTGGTCAACACAACCAAAAAAGGTGCAACGTTTTAGTGGCATCCCACCTAATTTACCTATTGCGTTCGGTACTGATGTACTGAACGCAACTAGCGACCATTATGAAATACTAAACTTGCAAAATGCCAAAAAATGAACTCATACCTCATTCGAAGCCTCTCTAACTTCAATCTCACCCTTCATGAATAAATACAAGATATTTTTTCACTAATATAAACGTATAAATCTAGGGTTTAGGGTTTAGGAACATGATGGTTTGAGAGAAAAGTCAAACTAAGATTGCAGGAACATATGTAGGTTGTACTGAGCAATTTTAATTTAAAGTTTAAATTTTTTTGTCCTTAACTGTAATTATGTACAAGAATAAAATAGGTTATTCATGTTTAAAATTAGTATGGAGTGTAAAAAGTAAATAATGAGGTGCCAATAAAATCTCCCGAGACAAAATTTATGGACCCACCCCACTCCATATTGTAGTCAAAGTACGTCAAATACTAGTCTCTGAATTATTGTTCGTAAGCTCCGTCTAAAATTTACCATCCTCATCCAATTATTAGGTCACAATTTAATCGATCAATATGCTCTGCGGGGCCCAGGATCAATGTATCTACTTGTAAAAGCCAAACCAAGCTCCCCTTAAGTTCCTTTCCTGATGCTCTGCATAGTTTTTTCCAGCTAGCTCATGAAATAGATTCTATAAATAAGGAGACAAAAAGGGCGCATCATGAAATGACAACAAGGGCTATATGGTTGGTATGTCATGAATACAATGTGATTATAATTTGTAAAGAGTAAACTATGAAAACGAGTGATTATCAATTGTTAATTTGTAGGTCTTTTGTAATCACATATGCATTAATAATTAACAATCGTTCAAGCATGCACGCGTATTGTAATACACGAGATATAACTTTGTTTATATAAGCTCTTATAATTCTCTTTATTCTTGATATTATAAAAAATTTAAAAGTATATTAAAGTCACCCATTGCAAGGTTTTATCTTAGGTAATTTGACAACTCAAAGATGGACATGGTAGCTCTTGAATCTCTCAAGAGAATGAAAACCATAAAAAGGAAAAAGGAAAAAGAAAAAAGAAAAAGGTGGAGAGAAAATTCCCTCCATTCACTTTTTATAGGAGAATATATTAGAAAGAGAAGGCAAGTAGGCAAGTAGGGAGGGGTCAGTGCTGAGTAGACCGACCCCAAACACATCCCAAAATTCCTACATTCACATTCACTTGATAATTCTGATATAAGCTAATTTACAAAACAACCTCCACCCCTCTCTCTCTCTCTCTCTCCTCTCTCTCTCTCTCTCTCGTTAGTTCTGTGTTCCTCTCCTCCCAGACCTAATGGCTTCGATCTGATTAAACCTCCTCTAAAGCCCCTTCCTTGATCACCCTCTTCACCAACCCAATTCTGAACCTGTTCAGATCGAGACCTCTTGGAGATTCGGAGCTCCAGGTGAGAGAATTTTCCCCCAAATTATCTTCAGTTTCTTTTGTTCTTATTCATTTCCAAATTTAATTTTAGAATTGGTTGTTATTTTAGGCGGGTAACGAAGCTATAATCAGAAAGATCCGAATTTTATGTCTGGATGGGGTCAAGTGCCTAGCTTTATTAGCGTTGTAGTCAATTGGGTATTTGTAGTTCAAATATGAATTAGGGTTTTGTTTCTTAGGGTCAAATTAGTGAAGAGAATATGCTTCTTTTCGTTATCATGGATACCGTAGCTCTAAACACCTAAAAAGTTGCTTAATTGAAATGAAATTTCCAGTTTTTAGGCTTACTTTCAGGTTCTGAGCTTTGTTTTTGTGTATATT